AAATACTTTTAATCCGTGTGTGTGTGTGTGTGTGTGTGTATGTATTTTAAGGAAATGCAACTATTTCCTGCCAACGTTTCTTTTATTCATATATGTTGTGCTAGGAGGGGTTAGAGGCATAAAAACAGGCGTGCTGCTGTTGCCATGGTGCTTTCAGACACTCTCTGCCAGTCTGCGCGGCGCAATCAGGAGAACAAAAAAGTTTGGGAATTTCATTCACTGTGTGAGAGTAAGTCATAAGACAAACATTTCAGGAATGCCAGACATCCATCAAACTGGTCGGAGGCAACAGAGCAGGCTGTGATAGGCCCTTTTTGAGGTTTGGTTTATTTAACTTTTTTCACAACCGAGTTCTCAGAGAAACCGCCTCGCATGCCTTTAAAATCTTGAATTCTGATCGAGCCTGCATGTCAAGCTCGAGCCTGTCAGACCAAATATTCTCTACTGTACTGAAGACAAGCCAAAAGTGGAAAACAAAACTCCTAATCAATCATAATGTGAATGATTAACTGTTCTGTAACACACAGTTAATCATTGACCTGTTGGAGAAAAAGCAGTTTATGAAGTTTATGAGTTTATGAAATCAACGACAAACGTCCTTAACTACTGTCAGTCATTCAGATTCTGTGTGTCGTGAAAATTAGGTTTATATACATGTATGTGTTTGTAAAATGAACTGTATACTCTTAATTATTTCTTTTATCGTGTTTTTTAGCACTAGCACCTTGTACAAACTGAATTATGATTGTATGGTAATAAAACAAAGTCTAAATAAAAAAACATGAAACAACCCTGTGATAAAGTTTCATGTTGTGTGTCATGAAGGATAGCTCTTGTTTAATGAAAATAAAAAATACATTCAGGCAGAAGTGGTGCAGCTGTTGATGTAGTTGTTGATGACGATGTATTAAAGGTCACACATTATCCAAAATACAATTAAACACTAATGTGTCTCTAGGCCGTCTACAAACCACCCCCCAGTTATGAGAAAAGTCCATCCTCTAAGTCTTTTGCCTGCTCCACTTTTAAGAAAATGTGTGCTCAAACAGGCCGTTTGGAGATTTTCCCTTCATGACATCACAAAGGGCAGTAACCCCTCCCCCAGGTGGGTGCTTAAAGCTGTTTGTTTGCACTTACTGACGTCGTTTCCTCCCCTCTAGATCCTCACTTGTCTTGTTCTTACTCCCTGATGTTCGTCAGGGAGCCCCGTGTGAAAACATCTGCACACTCTCTGATATTCTACTTCGCACCGCTCCTCTCTCGGTTGGTGGCATGTTTTTAAATATGTTGTCTTGTTTTGGCCCATTTCCATTTTCATCTTCTTCCCTTATATGTTCATCTGATGACAGAGCAACTTATCGCCACACAAGATCTGATTTATTCACGACCATTTAAAGCATTCATCACACTTCCTCGTTCTCTTCACTTTCTTTAAAACCGACTCGTAAGCGCACTAAAGCACCAAATGTTCATGTGATTGCAGCACTATTTGCTCTCTCTGGTTATGGATGTCTCTTAAGCTGTTTTCACACAGGACAGCCTGCCAACTGAAATCCATCTGAGTTGAATATTCAGTGAGTCCGACTCGATAATGCAGGCTTTCCCAACCTTGGGGTACCGCATGGAGTCCAAATGGGGTCCCCTGAAATTTTAAATTATTGACCAAAATAAAATATATAAATAATATGCCTTAATTAAGCTACAAGACGGTATCCAGTTCCTTGTAGCACATGCTAAAAACGATCACACTTGCAGTATCTCGGTGTGTCTCATTAATGCGTGATGCGCCCAGCATCAAGCAAAAAGCTCTATGTGTTTTGGATGTCTGTGGTCCCCAGAGCTTTGTGAAGTCAAACTGAGCTCACAATCCATTAAAGGTTGGGAACCACAGCATATAATGACAGATTCTGCCTTTATATTAATGCTGTGGTTAATTGGACGTATTCAAAGTATCAATAAACGAGTAGACAAGAACACACTGCCACGAATAAAGCAGCTTCATGATGTGCACATGGATCCTTGGTTGTCACTGGCCGGGTAATATGAATAAATGTGAGCTAAGATGAGCTGGGATCTTTTTAACTAAAAATTCCAAAAAAAATTGTTTGTTTTTCATATCAGCATTAAATACCTTCCTCATCATATCATATCAGTATCACTTTCCTCCAGATCAAACTTCAATAAGTCAAGATTCAATTCCAGTAAATCATTATAGACTGGAATGCTGCCATCAACTGGACAAACAGCAACACAACAGGTTGATGATCATAACAGAGCTCACTATATGATGCTGTTTTTTAGTAGAGCATTTTTTTATTTACCATTTGTTTTAAACAGACAAAAGTCATTTCAATGGAAACCTGAGCTGTAGTTTCCACATTTCAAGGACAATATGAGCATGTAAACAATAAGGTTCCTTTTCCAGTTTGCCATAATCCAAATAAATCAGTTTGCTGTTGATTTAAATCATTCCCACAAGGGTCAACAGAATATCAAGTTTAAAATCTGCTCTAGATATCTCCTGCAGTTACTGTTTCAGTTTGGTTTGTTGGTTCTGCCTGCATCTAAATCCAGCCTGCAGAACAAGTGAGATAAGCTCCTGTTGTGGTGAACAGAGAAAGAAGAATGCTTCCATAAATAGAACAGATCCAGATCAGCTCTGTTGAAATAAAGTCCACTTTCTGACAAAGAGTACTGCCGTGCAGACAACACAAGTTTTCAAAGTATTACCCGTAGCATAAACAACATTCATTCATTTCTGTTGTTGTTGCTGCTGCTCTGTTTGTCTCTGTCTGTCTTTTTCTTTACATCTGTCTGTCTATCTCACTTTACAAGCCCAACACCATTGTGATAGATGGCCCCTCAACCAAGCAGAAACCTCTGGTGTCAAAAAATGAAGTCGATGCAGAAATGCAAAATCCTGCAGTTCCTCAAGTGTCCACTAGAGGCTGGCTGCAGAAGCACCAGAAGTCACATACACACCCTATTTTAAAAATGCTACAGTATAAATAAACATGTTTTCAACCTGGTTTAAATAACTAAATAGGTCTGGTTAGCTCATGTCTCGATCGGCACACACTGTAAGAGGGGTGATTTTTTTAACAACTCAGCTGTTTTGATTTTATGAAGGATAAGCGTTATTCAAAATAAGGAGCGTAGCTGAGCTAAATGACAAGCGGACACGGTGTAACAGTTTGTCAGGAGGCTTAAAATCCGCCTCAGCTCGTTAGGTTGAATGAAAATTAGGCTGAGACGTGATTTCCAGCATGGAGACCGCCATCGATGGGACTCCAGCGCCCCCTGCAGGAACAGATGGGTGACATCACTCAGGCTTCGTATATTCATATTTACAGTGTATGAGTTCAACGAAGTGCAGATGGATGGATAGCACTTGTGCAGAATCTTCAAAGACACTTCTGGACAATTAATTGACACAAAATATTTCCTTGGTAATAACAAAGTGTTTTTCCAGTCAATGCCAGTGTACAGATTATTCCAAACATAGATGCAGGTTTACTACAGGTGTCCCTCTGAACTATTTCTCTTGTACATTAGTTATTAGTTTTAACACTTAGAAAAGGATCCGAATTCTCTATGAACAATTCGTCAAAAGTATTATGATGCCACATCATCGCTCACATTTAAGTTGACAGAAGGATTTTTAAACCGGACGAGGAAGCATCAAATACAATTGCATATTCCCATAGGGAGCACAGGAAGTTTAAAAATGGAAAGAAACTCTTAATAGGTGAACAACTGACCCTCCCTGTTGAACAATTGAAATAAAATTTCTCATGTAACACTCTGCCTCGCCCAAATGAGCAACCTTTGACCAATCAAAACTGTTGTTACATGTGAAATAGTGTTGTAGGATTATTGTAGATTGTGAAGTTTGTCAAAATGACTTGCTGTTTTCAATCAGTGTTACTTTAATTTTCTGTAACGTTATCCTGTGATCTTATTCCTCTGAGATATAGATTTAATAGACAGTTCTATCTTTTATCTCTAGCTATGCAAGGCTCCTTTTATTAATCTGACAACAGCGCCCTCGTGTGGCGGTGGTGGTAATTATAGAGATCTGGAATTGTCAGCTCGTCCCCTTTGCTGGCTGACTTCATCAATAACGGTACGTACTGAAAACAGCTCCGTGACAGGTTGTAAATATTAAGCCATAAAAGTAACTTTAACCAAATCAAAAGGCCTACAAAGTGACATAAGTAGTCTTGTCATGTTTTATGGCTGTTGCTGGGTTGTCATTTGTGTTTAATATTTTTCTGCTGAGTTAAGTTTACTTGCTAAGTGTGCTAGTTTATGTAATTTGGGGTGTCCAAAGTGCGGCCCGCGGGCCATTTGCGGGCCTTAAAGGGATTTTTTGCGGCCTGCAACGTCAATCGAAGAATCAGAACAGATTTTGGCCCGATGCCTCATTCAGATTGTCATATTATGTTTTTTTCTTTTTCATATTAGCAAGGGCTGAAAAATATTCCTAAAATAGAAAATGTTCTGTACAATGTGTTGTGTTGTTGTGTATGTTTTTCATTTTTTTTCGACTGCTTTTACTATTTTCCACATTTTTTGTCAACTATGAAAATAAACCTATGAACAATTTTTGCAAACAAGCGGACTGTTGTTTCACCATTCAATAACCTGAGCTTAATACAAAAAGCTTTTACAAAAAATGAACCACATTTTTTGTTAACAGGCTTGATTCTGATCTAATAAAGTAGACCGAAGAAATCTAAGTATTTGATTCCCTTTTAATAAAGGCTTTCTTTTGCTAACCTTTTGATTGTGATCTACAAAGCCTTACTATTTTTTCAAAATAATGAGAACACAATAGACAACACAACCATATTTTGCCCCTCATGTGGTGACGATTCTGACGTCAAGTCGGGCACCTAATTCTTTTCAGAGTTTCCGAGTTGTTGTTCCAACTTGAGTTGGTGTTCATGTGCATTTTACCACTCGGAAACTCGTTTTCCCGATGTTTCCAACACCACATGAATGCACCATAAAGCATTCAATTATTTTACTTTAATTTCAGGTAAAGGAACATGGCCTCCGCTGGTTTTCTGCTCTTAACGCTCGCTGTCCTCAACAGTATAGGAAGTTCACAGGGTTATGGTAAGATCCTCCGTTGTATCGGAGTTTAAAATATTTGATTCTTCTTGGTATTTATGTGATTCTTTCTTCACAGCCTTTGTGGAAATTCACTGCAAGACTCAAAACATCGGACAGTATGAGCAGGAGTCACGACTTGACTGTGTAATCCACTACTCTGAAAGAGACGTAGTAGACGTAGAAGATCCTGAAATCATGGTGGTAATTTGGAGGAAAGAGGGGGTTGAAGAACCTGTACTTAAATACAACCATGGAAAACTAACATCGTTGCCTGGATATTCATTTGCTGAACCGTCCTGGAACAACAAGAACGTGAACGTATCCCTGCTCATTCACAAAACTGCTGTTAAGGACGAGGGAGTTTATACATGTTATGTGTTCACAAACAGTGGTTTTAACAAGAACCAAACCAGACTGAGCGTCACAGGTGAGCTCTAAGCTAAAACTTTGCATCAGCTTCTTTGGCACACACACACACACACACACACACACACACACACCATTTTGAGGGAATGATTAATCTCTGAAACAGCCCCTGAGAGCTCATTTTTCTGTCTGTTTGTGTAAATATTTATAAGATTAAAGACAGAAGATGGACTGCAGGAAAGATGTAAAAGTGAGCTAGATTTCTTCCCCATCAGGCTGGTATTTACCTTCAACAGAGACTGTTCAATGTTTGCTCGGTGTCTTTGCTACTTTCTGTTTCTTTATGACAAATAAGATGTCTGCTTTCATTAAGTACATTTGCTTATCACACATCAAATATCAGTGGTAAAATAATAGTGTGATGATTGATGTCAAGGGTTGAAGTTCAGATTAATAATCATGTTTCATCTCCATGTTCTCCTTCAAGCCAAATACGGAGTGCCAACTATTCAGCCTCAACCTCAGGACATTGATCTCAACACCGACGGTTCCCTGACATGCAAGTCCACCGGCTACCCAAAAGGCCGACTCAGCTGGTTTGACAAAGACGATAATGCTTTGTTAGAGCAACCCGAGGTGGAGGTGCTGAAGACAGAGAATGGTCTGTTTCTCCTCTCAAGCACGCTGAAAATACAGGGAGGATCCGCCTTCTCCCAGTACACCTGCAAAGTGTTCAACGCCAGAGGAGACGAAGAGGTGGAGAAATCTTTCAACAGTGCAGGAAGTTCACAGAGTGAAGGTAAGATCCTCCGTCATATCAGAGTTTGAAATATTTGATTCTTCTTGGTATTCATGTGATTCTTTCTTCACAGCCTTTGTGAAAATTCACTGCAAGACTCAAAACATCGGACAGTATGAGCAGGAGTCACGACTTGACTGTGTAATCCACTACCTTGAAGAGGTAGAAGATCCTGAAATCTTGGTGGTAATTTGGAGTAGAGAGGGGGTTGAAGAACCCATACTTAAATATGAAAATGGAAAACTAACATCGTTGCCTGGATATTTATTTGCTGAACCGTCCTGGAACAACAAGAACGTGAACGTATCCCTGCTCATTCACAAAACTGCTGTTAAGGACGAGGGAGTTTATACATGTTATGTGTTCACAGACAGTGGTTATAACATCAACCACACCAGACTGAACGTCACAGGTGAGCTCTAAGATAAAACTTTGTCTCAGCTTTTTGGCACACACACACACACACACACACACACACACACACACACACACACACACACACACACACACACACACACAGACACACACACACATATGGATCATTTTGAGGGAATAATTAATCTCTGAAGCAGCCCCAGACAGCCCATTTTTTAAGTCCTGTGTTGGGCTCTGGTTTCATGTGTCGAGTAATCTCCATCTGATTCCTGCTGTGAAATGTGGCATGTATAAACAAAGAGACTGGTTTATGTCTGTCTTTTGTTGTGTTTATGTAGCTTTTTTGCGACCGAGTGCAACTTCTCCACATCAGCTGTTATCTTCTCAATCTCAGATATTTGTTTTCCTTCTTCTTTTTCATCGGTCGTCTCTCAGAGAAACTGGCTCACATGCCTTTAAAATCTTGAATTCTGATCAAGCCCGTCAGACCAAATATTCTCTGCTGCATATGTGAATGATTAACTGTTCTCTAACACAGATTTAACCATTGACCTGGTTGGATAAAAAACAGTGCGATGAGTTCATGAAAAGGTAAACACGACAAACGTCTTTAAACTTCTCTCAGTAGATGAGCTTCAAATCAGTGTGTGCAAAAATACTGAACTTTATACTCTTTTTTAAAATGATTTTTAAATTGGTTTGTTTTTTTAGCACTAGCACCTATTGTACCAACTGTGAATTGTGATGGTATTGTCTGTAATAAAACAAAATCTAAATAAGAAAATTGTTTTTTGTTGCTGTTTTGTGCCCCATGTGGTCACTTGAAGAAGTGCAGATGTTTTAAACTTCCTGTTGGCTTCACATTGCAGTCCTGGAGGTTACTGCTTGATATGTTGTCATAATTGTTTCAACCTGTAAAACCTGTAAAGCATGTGCATGTTTAGATGTCGTGCTTTTCTGTAAAACATGAAGTGTGCAATGATCGATCATTCACACTAAATTAGAAATATTTATAAACTACATAGATGATATTTATGTGTCCTTATGAGGCACAAAGCTGGAATCAACAGGAGAGGAGTGAGAGCAGGTGAGCGCTAGAGTCTGTTGAAAGTGTTTGAGGACACCTGGTGGACAGCTCCGGCATGGCAGGTTATGGGGAGGAGGAGGAGATTAATTAGGGGCCCTAGGAGAAGGGAGCAGATTTCAGGAGTTTGGATTAAGAGAGTCTGCATTCAGAAAGGTGCTTATAGGTCTAAAAGTATGCTTGTAGTTTGATATCCTTTATTTTCCTTCTTTGCAATGGAAGCCTCAGAGTTACAGTTCAGAAGATTACCAGAAGAGGGCAGCATTAGACAGTCATCTGAAACATACAGCACAATACACCTTAAAGTTTGATCTGTTAACAATTCATAGATGACAGCTTCTCCATCCATCACTGATTCTGTAAATTCCCAGTTTTGTTTCAGTCTGAAGACTTGATATGAGAGAAAAGATGGTCACTAAACAGGATGGCCACTTTGAGTCTAAAGAGCTGAGAAGTCAAATCTGCTGCTGTCGTTTCTCACCGAGGAAGAATCCAGCCACTCTATGGCGAAATTAAACCAGAACATCTGATGATTATCTCTTCATTTTCATAGTTAGTCACTGGTGTACCAATTGTTGTTGAACAGGAATATATTGTCCAACCAGCAAGAGTATCCGCATGTTTTTCATTTGTCATCAGTATGTTATGAGAAGGTTATAAAAAAGGCCTCTAAAAGAGCTGGCCTGCTTACCTAGGGCAAGAATCTGAGTCCTGGGAAACTCCAATGGTGTACTCGGGGTTGGGGAGGGGGAGGGAGTCTTACAAGTGTGCACTTGTGCACTTAAAGGGGGGGTACTTGAAAGTGTTCACTTTTGTGTTTCAAAGTGTGCACTCGTAAGGGAGCACTTAAATGTGTACTTATTCACTTTGAAGTGTGCACTTGTAAGTGAGCACTTAAATGTGTACTTACTCACTTTGAAGTGTGCACATGTAAGGGAGCACTGAAAGGTGTACTTATGAACTAAAAGTGTACACTTGTAAGTGAGCACTTAAATGTGTACTTATTCACTTTGAAGTGTGCACTTGTAAGTGAGCACTTAAATGTGTACTTACTCACTTTGAAGTGTGCACATGTAAGGGAGCACTGAAAGGTGTACTTATGAACTAAAAGTGTACACTTGTAAGTGAGCACTTAAATGTGTACTTATTCACTTTGAAGTGTGCACTTGTAAGTGAGCACTTAAATGTGTACTTACTCACTTTGAAGTGTGCACATGTAAGGGAGCACTTGAATGTGTACTTATTCACTTTGAAGTGTGCACTTCTAAGTGTTCACTTGGAGTTTCAGACTTTCCTTCACTTATTTCACTTATTTGACTGCACACCGTTAACAAGTTCTCTGCTCACTTTGGAGACTGGTGAAGAATTCAGCATCCAACTCGGGATTTAGATTTCATTCTCTCTACTCAAGCGTGATACTTTCCTGTGCCTTTACTATTTATTACAAAACAATTTTTCATCCATCTGCTCTGTCATGATTTCATTTGGTTATTTCCTCCTTGAGTTTTCACTTGACAAGGACGGGTGCACTTGAAGGGGGCGTGCGGGGACGTGACAACAGATGGTATTTCTTTAGCAGCCTTAACATTATAAACTTGTGTAACCGCTAATCAAATAGGCTGCTACAACATCAAATATGTCGTGGCTGGCTGGCCAATTCTGGTCCTGAAGATGGTTGTTTTGACCATTTTCTGGTGGTGTCATGTTGTGCACTCGATGGGCCTGATCTGACAGGTATTCACTCTTGGACTCTATCTATCTATCTATCTATCTATCTATTTATCTATCTATCTATCTATCTATCTATCTATCTATTTATTTATTTATTTATCTATCTATCTGTCTATCTATCTATCTATCTATCTATCTATGTATCTATTTATCTATGTATCTATGTATCTATCTATTTATCTCTATTGATGTTGATGTAAATGCTTCAGGTCCTCTTCCACAGGTATGTAATGTACTTATTGTATACCTGTCTCAGAGAGGAAAGGCCCCCTTCATTATCATATTGTTGCCATGGCATTTCAAACTCAGGCACGACAGCGAGGTGATGAGTGTATGATGTGCTCTAACTCAACAGGAGGACTAACACTGTATGAAACTCAGTGAAGCGTAGAAGAAAAACAAAACGGCTTTTCAGGAGAGCAGGACATTTTTGCCGTTAATAATTGCTCGGGGTTGCGTTTCTTTAAGAAGCTGAGCTGTGTGTCGTTCCCACGAGGACGATTGTGAATGACAAAAGGTAAGACCCGCCATGCAACTTTAAACAGCACATCATCTTCTATGCAGATTACACTAAGCTGCTGTCGCTCCCTGCTCCTCTATAAGTGGACTTTCTCCCCGGGCCCGAGCTCGACAAAACTGCTTCACACTCATTAAATCACTGCCGTTTGATATTCATTAATTTATTCCATCTGCTCTGGCGTGGCCTTTATTGGACACGTTGCACATTTCTGGTCAATTCTAACTTTGCGCCTAAAGATTGATGAGTGCTGTAAAAGCCGATTACACTCTGTCAGTGTTTCTCTCTATTAATCTGCTTTAATGAGAGGTTAGTGGTCCCTGCTGCCTTTGGGTGTTTAATCCTTATTGGGCCAGTTCTTATTGTCAAGTCAAGTGATGTCATTTAAACCCCCAAGAAGCCACACATGTCCACTCACTGTGGCTTTATTATCGTGTGTGTGCTGCACAGAGACGAGTGGGGCAGGTCAGTGAGAGGTGGACCTTTGTCCGGGGTCGGACTGCTGCCCATTATTTATTCATGCCCGTGTATCTGACCGGTCGCCCTAATTGCACCAGGAGGAGCCCAATTACCCTCCACAGTCTCACGTTCACAGTAACAGGAAGCTGTGTCGCATGTGGGCCATGACTCACTGCACACGTCTTATTTACATTAGGACGTCTCAGGTGTGCAGAGAAACGTTTTTGTGACTGTTTGAAGATGGTAAATTCCACAAACAGAGAGGCTGGAATGTAAAAAAAAAAAAAAAAAAAAGAGAGAGTGTGCTGGACTTTAGTGACTGGTTTTGTTGCTTGGAGGATTCATGGCAGATTAAAGTAAGCTCCTCATGCTCTCTTTTTTTGTTCCTTCTTTGATGGTTTTGTGTTTGTTTGTTTATTTTTCTTTCTTCTCTTACAGCAGGCTCAAGAGAAGATGAGAATATGAACACTGCGACAGGAAACATCCTCATTTCAAATCAGGAGGAAGAAGAAGACGAAGAAGAAGAAGAAGAAGAAGACAGCCAACCGACCGACAAGGAGATCATTAAGTTTCTACTTCCTCTTTCCAGTCTCTGTAAATCTTCACCTACACCAGGTAAGATACATTCCTTCTCCTTATAACACTTTATCAGAATGAGAATATTTAAGGGGAACTTTAAGGGGAAATTCTTGTCCTGATTCTAAGAATTTTCTTAGAATTTATTTACTGGGAGCGACGCTTAATACTGAGGAGGCTTCATGAATACGGCCCTAGGAGTTTGCTTACATTGGTTATTAATTAAAAACAAGAAGCCATCTTGTACTTGTACAGTTTTGCCGTGGTATCGTAACAGGTATAGGTAGAGTAAAAAGATTTCTAGGTTTATATCCCAGCTTAAAAATCTACAGTATTGTGAAAACCCCAGATATGAGAATCTGTGTCATCCTCCTCTGTTGTCTAAAATGCAGATTCCATTCCATTTGGGACCCAATAGTCAACAGGTTTCAGGTGTGTTATCTTGGTCAAAGGGAAATGTGATTGTGTTTTTTTCCACCAATATCATGTTTATTAACTGGTTCACTGGGTATCAAAACCAACACTCTCCCTGTGTATCATCTGATGTCCTTCTTTTGTCTCTTTCTAACTTTCACAACAAGTCCTCGTTCCAGCTCTCCAATTTTTCCATTTGTTGTTCTTTCAATACTTCACTGCCACCCTTATCTTCCCCCCCATCCTTCTTCCCCATCAGCCTCCCCTCCGTCAGATCAGGCCTACGTGCAAGCAGCGGCCGTTTTCCATCGGCTGCGATCGGAGAAGACGTCCTCGCAGCAGCTGCTGCATTATGAGAAGAAGACGGACACACCGCTGCCACAGAGCGGGGACAAACCCACCCAGAGACAGGCCTTCCAGCTCGCCTTCAGCACGCTCAAATGTAGGAAATCTCCACAGGTTTCTCGCATTGTTTACAAAAATCCTCACATCTTTGAAGCATATTTAGTTTAGTAAGCAGACGCACACTCTGCTGAGCATTTGATGGTTGACTAAGTAATGTCAGAGAGAAATGAATTTGATCAACTCCATTTCTGCTACCTCTGCAGACCTCACACACCTCCCATAAGGAAAGCCTTATCTCTATAATGAACAGGAGAGGAGCCGCAGCTTGTGTCAACTCCAATATTCACTTCTGAATAGCGGCCTGCAGAGAAAACTGTAGATGAAGTGGTATATGTACAGTCGCACATTTCATTTCCCCATGGGACTACCAATTACTTCAGCTGGAGGGGCGGCAGATGTCTGTGAGGGAGGTGATAAGAGGGTGCATGCCATGGACACACACACACACACACACACACACACACACACACACAGAATGACATATTGAATAGCACACGTGAGGAGTGGATGTTATCCAGCCATGCAGAAAGGTTCGATTTGATTTAGTCAGGTTTTAGAGATTTTTATTGTGCTATCATTTTTAATAGACTTTACATTCAAAGCTGCCCTGAAACGTTTTCAGATCTATAGCATGAGAGTACGGTCGGGTTATACTTCAGTAGGATTCTAGTAAAATGCAAAACAATATCCATACCTTTTTCAATACCACGGCACAAATGTACAAGTCATATGCACCAAATATTTAATAACAATCGAACAAAACATTACATGTAAACTTCTGCAGACTTTCTAAATGCATAAATAAGTTTGCAACGTTGCTGTACCCGATATGTAGCCGATGTATTTGTGCATGCAAAATACGACAGATTTTGGTAAAACATTTTTAATTCGACTGAAAAACTTGTTTAAAAGCTTCAGTACTTAAAGTTGATCTATTAGGCTGATCCCCATTTTAAAACTCACATATAAATGATAAATGGACTTGAGCTTGTATAGTTCTTTTCTAGTCTTCTGACTACTCAAAGCGCTTTTACACCGCAGGTCACACCTACACATTCACACACTGATGGTAGAGGCTGCTGGGTAAAGAGACCATCAGAAATAACTAATCCCATTCATACACTGCAGATGAAGCAGTGGGAGCAATCAAGGGGTTAAGTGTCTTACCCAAGGACACATCGGACATGTGGCTGCAGGAGTTGGGGATAGAGTGCATCATTAGTAAACATATGTTGGAATAATCCCAGGATAAGTCTGCAGAGGGCGCTAAATTGCATGTTATGCAAATCATGCGATAGTTCCTGGATATGAAAGAATGTCACACTTCAAGCCTCTGCAGGTGGAGCCGTTTTACAAAGGCTCTCTTCTCCAAGCACTGGAGAGCAGCCCTCCTCTGGCAGCCCTGCAGCGTCCTGCCCCTTGGAAGTGCTGGCCAATCAGAAGAAAGTGGGCACGTAGGGAGAGGCTGATTAAAGAGACAGCAGCGGAAATGAAACATTTCAGGCAGAGTCTGAAATGAGCCATTTTACTGACGAGCTGCAAATCATGCAAAGCTTCTGTGTAAGATTCACAGACTGACAACATGAAAGGAGAAAATGAGGATAATATGGGATCTTTAAAAAGAAGGATGCTATCCAAACCACATCAGATTGTTCTAACAACTGATACTAAAACAGAACTTCAAAGAAGGTTAGCTCCAAATTTCAGCAAATTAAACCAAATTTCAGCAATTGTGTTTCCGTAATTTAGGTGACTGAGCCTCTAAGATTAAAATGTTTTGAAGTTAAATTCATCTCAAATGAAATCCAAAATGTTTTTTTTTTGCAGACCAAGATTTACTGGAGGACATCATCACTGACAGCTGCTTCCACACGTCTCAGCATATTGTGAGTCCCACCAAACCTGAAAAAAAAAAAAGAAACTGATTAAAAGCACTTCAGCAGTTACTCACTGACTGTTAAACTGTCTGGGAGTTGTCTGTCTTCAAATAAAGTATCTGTGCTCCCCTCTCTGTCCATATGTGCTCCATCACAATATGGGAAAGTGCGGGCGAGGGAGATGGGGAGGCAGTTAGAGGCCATTTGTATTCAGATGTGAGCGCAGTCTGGCTGGTTATGGGAGGCGAATGATGCAGAGAGGTAGACGCACTCTCACACTGGGAGACTGTAAATGGCGCCATAAAACACGGTGCAGTGACACATACATGGACAAAGACACACACCTATGTATGTGTGTGTGTGTGTGTGTGTGTGTGTGTGTGTGTGTGTGTGTGTGTGTGTGTGTGTGTGTGTGTGTGTGTGTGTGTGTGTGTGTGTGTGTGTTGGAAGGATGGCTTTATTGAGGGTTGTGTGAAACAGACAGTATGACTATAAAAGCTGCCACACAGCTCTTTGTAATTCTGCACACCTCTTTACTGAGACACACACACACACACACACACAACACACACACACACACACACACACACACACACACACACACACACACACACACCTTAACCTCCAACAAACACACAACCTCACACGCACTAAATAACATGTATGTACCAATGAGTGTAAAAAGAATGGACAGCACAAGAGCTCTTGAGTAGTGAAGCCAAAAGATTTAGAGCTCCCCCTGCTGACGGGCTGCGGTATAAACAATAAACTTTGCCTCGTCAATATAATAATAAAGTCTTGTTTTGCAGACCAGCGACTTGTTGCCCTTGGCGATGGTGATGCTGTTTGACTTCCAGGAACAAAGGTTTTTAGTGAATGAACGCTCAGCAAAAGAAGGGGCGGAGCCTCTGCAGGAAGTCAGGGACATGGAGATCAGTCTGCTGAGGTGCGTGAGTGTCGATGTTTCTAACGCAACTGAAGCTGTTTTTGATCAGACAGGATGAACATGAAAGTGTCCTGTAAGATGTGTGTGTGTGTGTGTGTGTGTGTGTGTTTCTATGTGTGTGTTTCTATGTGTGTGTGTTTCTATGTGTGTTTCTATGTGTGTGTTTCTATGTGTGTGTGTTTCTATGTGTGTGTGTGTGTTTCTATGTGTGTGTGTGTTTCTATGTGTGTTTCTATGTGTGTGTGTTTCTATGTGTGTGTTTCTATGTGTGTGTTTCTATGTGTGTGTGTTTCTATGTGTGTGTGTGTTTCTATGTGTGTGTTTCTATGTGTGTGTTTCTATGTGTGTGTGTCTATGTGTGTGTGTTTCTATGCGTGTGTTTCTATGTGTGTGTGTCTATGTGTGTGTGTGTTTCTATGTGTGTGTGTGTGTGTGTGTGTGTGTGTGTGTGTGTGTGTGTGTGTGTGTGTGTCTATGTGTGTGTGTCTTGTTTCAGGTGGAAGACAAAGCTAGCGGCCTCGCTGGCTCGCTGCAGAGTGAAACAGAGTCTGCAGAGCGTCTCCTGTTTTCTATCTGATCCTGTCAGGACCAAACAGAACAGAGCCAAACGTTTGCCCCTCTACGCATGGGTCAATACTCTGAAGACCAGGTACCTCATACTCACAGCCTTTACTTACCCACTGAAAACGAGGACAAGCCTTTTGTATCAGAGCTACTTTACATATCCACAGTACCAACCAACGAGTGGAAGAAGTGGGAGAAGGAAATACTGATGCCCAATACGCCAACAGTTACTGTACACCAATCATATCCCTTCAAGTGTATTTGCGTCATGGCGTTGGTTTGTTGATGGAGCTATAGACCATAACTCAAGAACAGAACAGACATGAAGAAGAATGAAACACAGGATCTGCAGTCGTCACAGTTTTGTTTTAATATAAATAAATTATACTGGTTATGAAATGTACGCACAGTGCGTACATTACGACTGGTGGCACCACTGGCCCCAGTCGCTAAATGGTTTCATCATGCAAAGGTCATAACCTCCTCCTAGTGTTGTAGTCAAGACCACACCAACTAAGACCAAGACATACCCGAGACCAGAGTGCTCCGAGACCAAGACCAAGACCAAGACCATAAATATCACAGAAAACTTATCAACTTCTCTGCATTGGGTGTGTCTCTCACTTAGACTGTAACACCGGAGGATACAAAATCAAACTACAAATGAAATAAAGTTTTCCATTATTTAAGAAAGAGGCATTTTCCTTCTAATCACAATCAAAATTAGACCTTCAGTGGTGGTCTTGATTTAAAATCCGGAGTCCGTCCAGTCTGAGAACGAGACAAGACCGAGTAAAAATGATTTTGATGCTGAGACGAGACCTTCTCGAGGTGAGACCAAGACCCATTTCGAGGTCTACAACACCACCTCCTCCCGTTTATACCTGCAGTGCATTTTCTTGACTTTCTACCTCGCCTTGGAGGTCACAAGGAAGCTGGTGTAACATGTTATGTGGTGGTCCTTAGTAAGAACGGACGGGAAACCCTCGTGGAGTCTACTAGTGACTTTTATTAAACTCTCATAGTCCGTTCCTTATTATCGTCCCCCTATGCACACACATACATACATTAGTTCCTACTAATCTTCCATCATTACAGCTGGCAGAAGAAAAAGTCAGTGTAAACATTTCAGCTGCTTGCATTCACACATGCAGCTCACTTTGAAAATGTCAGGAGTTTTGTGCATGTGTGAAAGCATCCTAATTTTCTATCTTACTTCTGTGTAGTTAAAGAGTTCAAATGAGAAACAAGAGGGGCTTTTGGCCATTAAGTGCTCGTTTAAGAACCTGTTCACTCCCGTGACAAAGTATATTTTTGTAAGATTTAGCAGGTGTGTGTCATACATCATGGAGAACATATTATCAATATGATGAAGAGTGTTCAACCTTAGCAGAGAAGCTGTGAGTGTACATCGACAGGTGAGGGGAGGGATGCAGTACGGGGTTAATGGTGAGTGAAGTTCACTGGGTCGTATCTGAGACGGGGAGGCTTCAGCAAGTTTTACAGCTTGAGGGGGAGAAGTGACCCTGTTGTTTGTAGTGAACAGGATGCTGCACTCTTTACCAGACAACCTTTCAAAACCTTTCAAATGAAACTCAAGCTTAATCTCTGCTTCTGTCTGCAGCGTCGACGAAGTGTGTGAAGCCCTGAAAGGCGCAGGATTACGAGAAGCGAAGAACCTGACTGATCTCGAGGAGTCGACGTTCAGCAGAGACCCGCTCTGTGCAGACACACTCGTCCTCTCTCGACGGCTTCTCGCTCTGCTCCAGCACAGCACCGTTACACATGCGCTCAACACACAGGCATGTAGCGATATGTGTGTGACGTGAAGCGTGACTAAGCAAATTACAAGTTAGACTCATCAACTGAATACATACAAACTATTACAAGACTGCATGAGAATATTGTAATCTAACTTAACTGATATTTGCTCACTTATTTACAAATTCTAAGTTAAAATTTTCTTGAGTTAAAAATCAGCTGGTTGAGAATCGACAGTGGTTTATCATTCTCATGTCGTCCAGGTCAGAATGGGAAACTTACTGGGAAACTTTCATGCCTTTTACATATTGTACTACTGCGGAAGCCTTAAGCGGACATGCTTCGATGTTACCATGGTAACGAGTGACTTCCAGCTGTTTTCTGGAGATCTGGACATATCTATCTTGTTTCTCCAGAGTTGCAAAAAGCATAAAAACAAACATAAAAAAAGCAATACTTTAGCTCATTGGTGTAGGCAGTGATGACGTCTGGAATATCACAGTGACCACAGTTGTTTAGTTTTCTAGATCACCAGGCAGCGAATGATCCTGTTATCTGGAGAAAAAGAGATAAATGAATCCACTTTTATTGGTAAACCAACGTTGTCAACCTAACAAATCATGACGAAAGAAAAGAACACAAATTACATGTTTTCACAGGAAAATTAGGAAAATCAAATTGGTGCATGAATGCTTAGGGTGAACAGAGGAAATTCTACCAACTTTCATGATTTCATAAAGTATTGATAACCAACCGAAAAGACAAAGACGGTAAAAATCTGATAACTGATTTGTTTCAACTACTAACAAATAAGCTCTGAACAAAATAACTGTTAGCATGCTGACATTACTCTTAGGTAGGAGTTCATGCCTTTCCTTTCTTATTGTTTCACAGTATCAAAGCAGGAAAAGGTTCCTTTATTGTTTTATTTTCTAACATCACTGTTAGCTTCAAGCCCTCCTACTTTTCATTTAGGCTAACACGTTACAGTAAAACTGTTAGCTATGAAGTGGTCGAATGCTAACACTAGTTGTTGCCTTACTGAGGGAAGCAACTTAAAAAAATATATAATTTTACCTTAAATGTAGTTTTCTGTGTTTACACCAAGCAGCAACGTCCTGTGTTAAAAAATTCAGCCAATAGATGAGTGCAAAAAAACTGCAGTACCTCCAGTGTCCACTTGAGGCTGGCTGCAAAAGCCAGGGAATCCCTTAGGTCCCAACATTCAAATGCTTACTTCTCCTGCAGAAATAAACATGTTTACAACCTGGTTCAAAAAACAAATTTAGCATCATTTGTTAGTTTCTTTATTGATTCCCACCGACAGAGGCTTACATTTCTATAACTCATCAGCTTAGATTTTAATAAGGCATAGAGTTACTCATAAATTTGTATAATTAGATGCTGATCTGACTGACAGGTGGACACATTGTAGTGTTTGCCAAAGGGCTACAGACCTGCCTCAGCTCCACCTCTTTGCCCCTTACTAGATTGATCAAATGTTGAGATAGGATTTCCAATATGGCGACCGCCATTGTTCAGAAACCAATAGGTGACATCACTGAGACTACGTCCATATCTTACACAGTCTATGGTCTGCACCTGTGTTTGTGTCTCTTTGCAGGACAGAAGTGTGTGCGTGGCGGTGAGTGCATTACGCCCCTTGCTGTTTGAAAAAGGTGACGTCCTGGTGGCGGGGTCTTTCTCTGCCGTCACTGTGGCTCACGTAGCCGTAGTGGCTGCTGAGCGCTCTGGCCGAGTGTTGGTGTGTGCCGCTGATCACACAGCTTCACACATGGAAGAGATAAAAGAACTGCTCGCACTAATGGACATCAAAAGTGAGAAAACGTTCAAACATTTATATTCATAGATTCATTCCTTCTGTAGAAACGCTTTAGTTTTACGTTGCTAATCTATGTCCAATGCAGATTTTCGAGTCCTGTCAGAGGCGTTCTCTGGTCTGGACGAGTGGAACGCCAGTGTTCAGCGTTTAAAAGTCATCATAGTACTACCTCAGTGCTCATCCTCTGCCCTCAATGACCCTGTACCCACAATGCACAGCGAACACGGAGGTACATTCAAGCGGCAACATCAAGGTTGTAAAATGAAGCAGATGCTGGAGTGCAAAAAAAACCTGCAGTTCCTCGAGTGGCCACTTGAGGCTGGCCCAAAAGCCAAGGAAGCTCCATTAAGTCCCATATTAAAAATGCGATTAAAAATTTGCCACAATAAATGTATAAGGGGATGGTAGGGAAAGGGACAGTAACAATATGGAAACTGAGATTGAGATCAAAATCTTAACTTCTAAAAAATAAAATATTCTAATGTTATTGATGGTTATATAAAGAGGTTTTGTCCCTTTTTATTTTTTCACTAAAAAGATCAGTTTCGTTCTGTTGACAGATTGGGATCTGCTGCATGACTTGTCGTACGGTTCAGTATCGCAGAAGAAGAAACAAACAATGGCCACGCAGCAGGCACGACTTCTCGCACACGCTCTCTCCTGTAAGTACTAATCGAGAGGACACACACAGATACATAGATGCTGAAATATTTGGAAAGAGGAGAGACTCACAGCAGAGGTGCTGATTCAAAAGAAAGTCTGAGCCACCCAAGTCCTTCCAGAGAGGGGGCGTGGTCAAACACAGCTCATTTACATATTTAAAGGTACAGACACAGAAACAGCCTGTTCTGAGCAGGGCTGAAATAGAGGGGTTTATAGGTATGATCAAATACAGGATCAGAGTGGATTTAGAACAAGAAACTCCACACACATGTTTTGAGGAGCTCTGAGACTTATTTAAACTGGTTGAAGAGGAGAATATGTGACCCTTATTTTTTTTATTTTATTTTTTTTACCTTAATCACTGAGCCAAACTCCTCGTATGTGTAAACATACTTGGCAACAAACCTGATTCTGATTCATATAGTGTTGACTGTGTAGGTTCTCAGTCATCCAGTTCATGGTAAATTCAAAGCTTGATCCAAACCAAACAACTTGGTTGAAGATCTTGAAGACGTTTCACCTCTCCTCCAAAAGGCTTCTTCAAATCTCAACAAACTGGTGGATGGTGCTATGAATTAAAGCCTCTGTGGATGATTAGCATAGGATAGCATAGCATGCTAATCATAAAGGATGACTCGCATGAGAGTCATTTGTGGGACGTTGGGGTCACATGTTACATGATGGGAGTGGGGAATTCAAAACAGCATTGTAGATTGGTGATAGATTGCGTCTCAGACCACCACCTCTGTTGAGGGATGGTTTTTCCATCATAGAAGGCGACTTTAACTCCCCTTTCAAACCAACGGTCTTCCCTGGCCGGGATGTGCACTTTGTCCTCTTCAAAGTAAGTTCAGAACTGAAGAAGCTTTTCTGAGGAGAGGTAAAACCTCTCCAAGATCTTCAATGAAGTCCAGTTGCCTTTGGATGAAGCTTCATATTCATAGTGTTGTGTTTTTTCCATGCATACCATTGATAACATGCCATCAATTTAAAAAAAAAAAAAAAAAGGACGATTGTCTCTGTTCAATGTTTTCTCTGTCCGTCAGTCCCAAAGGTTCAGACGGTGGTCTACTGCACGCGCTCAGTTTATCCCGAGGAAAACGAACAGCTGGTGAAAAGAGTGTTAGAGAAAACACACACTCCCTCCAAACTGCTGCCTTTCAGGTAAACACACACACACACACACACACACACACACACACACACACACATGCTAGTTATTCCTGGTGCATTTAAAGAATAACAGGAAACAGAAGGTGTTTAAACACAGGTTTCTTTCTTGGACCCAACAGAGAGAAACAGAAACAGGTGACTGTCCGCTTATAGTGAAGCTCACATGCTAAAGAGGACATATCATCCCCCCCCTCCACCTTTTCAAACAGTCCCCTGTGGTCTAAATGAAACATCTGTGCTGTGCTTTGGTCAAAATATAACATGAATCAAGCACCAGAGGAGGTTTGTGACCCTGTATAAACCAGCTCTCTCAGAACGCTCCGTTTTGGTGTGTGTGTCTCTTTAAAAGAAATGTCGCCCCCCCCCCCCCCCGAGTTTTCCCCGTAGACATCACTCCTCTGTAGAGAGAATAAAAATGGCCGACCTGTGTAAAAGTTTTGTTCTCGGCATGGGGTGGAGTCTATGGGTGGAGATACCAGGGGAGGGGAGGGGATTTTTTTTTTTTTTTTTACTAGAATCCCACTGTGACGTCACAAGGAGAGCACATCTGAAACAGAGCATTTTTCTCTGTGTTGTAAGACTTATGCAGACCACAAACAAAGGACTGGATGGGTTTATTTCACATTTTGTGGGTCAGTAGACACTCAGGTTACCCAAATATATGTTCAGAAACACTGTAGAAGAGGACTTTTCATAATATGTCTCCTTTAAAATGTATAAGAAGCAGGAATTTAGTTATTTTGCTTTTCACAACCACAGGGATTATGCAACATTATTGGACCCAGGAGGTAAATGTTTGTCTATATATGAATTAATTCTAAACGACTCCTTTTGATTCAAAAGGGTCGTATCAGCGCAGCACGGGCCTGTTTTGTCCTCTGAGCTGCACGGTAGATGTTTGTGTAGAAAGAGGGTCATTGTTGGTGTCTCAGAAACAACAAAAAACATCCGCAGTTACCATGATGGACTTGCAAACCGACTACGTGCACACTTCCTCCTGCTGTATCAGAATGTGTACCTAGTGCACTCAGGCACAAAGTAATACTACTAATGTGAACGCAGACCAGCGGGGGAGAGAGGAGGGGGGAGCAATCGTGCTCAGGCACTGTGCGAAACAATCATGCCTAATGTGAAAACGTCCTTAGTAATCCTCACACTCTCCTGGCCACCCCGGTCAGAAAACGCTTGGCTCCGCCCCCTGCAGCTGAAGCTCTTGAGACAGCTTTGTCATCAGAGGTTAATAGGTAACAGCTGGCAGAGCAGCAACTTGAATTAAACACTATTGCTCATGTCACCTGGCCTTGTGAAAGACACTGCTCCTGAAGGTGTTTGTGAAAAGCTGAATGAGGCCGAAGGACCAACTTCACAACAATCCTGATAGCCTCCACCCTAAATGGTTAGAAGCAATCAAATGTTGAAACTAGAGCTGTCAGCGTTAACTGCGATGTGATTAAGGTCAGAAGTGAATATTCATTATTTTTAATCACATTAAATCGCGTGCTATTTTTTCTCCTTCACCTCCTGGACAGCTCAAGTCAAAAAATTAAAAATCCACCTTGTTTACCCTTCCCTTAGCTATTTTTATCAACTTTTAGATCTGTAGCTAGTTACTTTTTCCGTGGTAGTAAATGTTGTAACTTTTGATACACCTGAAATCCCTAATTTTCCGTCAAAATAAAAGCAGGTTTTTATTCAAACTAGAAGAAAAGCAGATAAGCAGATATGGGTTAAGACAAAATCCAAAAAAAAAGGAGGTTTTTATTCAAACAGGAAGAAAATCAAACATGCGTTAAGATAAAATCCAAAATAAAAACAGAACAAAAATTGTCGAGAACTGCAAAATAATGACATTTCCAACATGTCATTAGTTGTGATTTATCTTTTGAAATTCAGCGATTAATTGCTGTTTATAAAAAGGGAGCAATTTGAATCTGTATTTTAAAAAACAGAAATAGTTGCTAGACAGTGTCACGATGCTGGACTCATCCACTACGCATCGTTCAAACATCTGATGTAAAATCTTTAAGTGCAGTCCTCACAATGAACACCAAATGACAATATGAGACTAAATGGACTATTAAAGATTAGCATAGAGTGTCAGAGCTCATTTCATAGCCTCGTAAACAAATAGCTCAGCTCAAACAGCTGTTCATCTGAATGTGTTTTATAACTGCAGAAGCCCAATTAAAGCGAGCGCAGAGCTTTATCTGTGTGTTACAGGCTGCTGGAGGGACTTTAAGAGACAGAGAGTGAGGCGGTAAATAAAGTCTGCGTACTGTCAGTATGACAAGAGGACGTCGTATCTGTGCATATACTGACAACACAGGTGTCTGTGTTTACTGGGAGTGTAAATCTGCGTGAGGCCGACGGCGGGCGATCAGCGGTTCCTCCAACACTGAGGGTGAACGAGGAGGAGAAACTTTCAGAGGATGTTTCCATCAGAGTGATTTTCTGATCTCCTTCCGTCCTCTTGAAGAAATCCAAGCGTTATAATATTTAGTCACATCAGCTCTTTTATCGACCTACCAATGTGTAATGAGACGATCAGCAGCTGTTTCACCTTAAAGCAACACATCTCCTGCAGCGCCTGTCTGTGCTGTAAGGACTGAAAATGAAGCAGATAACGTTAATATTCTAAACTGCAACAAAGATGCTTTCCTTGTATATACTGTATAAAAAGATTCAATCAAATAAAGGGCAGCATATAGCCTAGCACCCCATGTATGGAGGCTATAGTCCTCCAAGCGGGCTGTGGCTCCTTTCCTCTTTCCTCTCTCTCTCTCCCCCAATTTCCTTCTCTGTCCAATGTCATTTCAAAAGAAGGCAAAAAAGCCCCCAAATAAATATTTCAACAAAAAACAAAAACACATAAAATCAGTTATTTTCTCATTTTAAAAATTAAAGGAGGAAGGAAATACACTTTAGGTAAGTCTCTACAAAGACGGCCTGGTTCACTAAAAGTGGATTTTGGCTGCTAGTAGCTTAAAAAAAATTGAGCTATCTGCTCCATCTCAAAGTGTAATCCACATATAACCAGAGGTGAATCTGACAGCACTCACTCTCGTTGCAGTGAAAACCAAAGTTTGTCAATGGAAGTCAACAAAGAAAAGTGAAGAGGAATTAGCCATCTATAGGAGAGAAAAAAGAAACAGGAAGAGGAAGAGGAGTAAATCGTTGGCAGGCAGACATGATGGTGATGAAAGCTGTTTTTGCCTGGGGCCCAAACAGACTCTAGAATCGCCACTGCATATAGCACTGATGATATTTCAGGCACAAACATGCCCATAAAGCTGTCCTGATCCGTACTGTTTGCTCTTGTTTTGTGGAGGAAAGATGTCTGCACTGTGTGGAGCTGTGCTGTCACGATGACGGAGCTGTTTTCTCCACATGAAGTCGATAAGCTAGGAGGGGAGTGGAAACTCATACTTCATTTTCAGGGTTTATTTTGATGCCAGATTTGAAAATGAAGGATGAGTTTTGACGTTTAAAAAAAAAGCAAGGACAACCTGGAAAAGGGCTCCAGACGGTCTCCACAGATGTTAATGAAGTGTCAGGCTGCTGACAGCCGACAGATTTAACTCCTGGTTATATTAATAAGAGTTAAAAGTTACATTCAAGACTTTATTTACAGACATTCAGAAGTAGGAAACAGGAAAAGTTTGTCATCTCTGATAAACTGCGGCGCAGTTACCACCAACTCTCAACCGAGGGTTTAACTGCGTGTGGCTGTTAGCGCTGGTGTTTGTGAATTAGACGCTTTAGTAAGGGGACACATTTTCCCCAAATGACTGCATAAAGGATACTTTAGTTATGCGCTACAAGCAGTGGAGCACAGAGAAGCTGTTTCTTCTGCAGCGCAGTTATAGGCGCATTTAACCCTTTATGTGTGTTTTGATTCATTTGCACAGATTAGCGCTCTCAAAAGCTGCAGCATAGTTATACAGAGAGAGTGCCACTGGCTCCTTCTTTCCTTGCGTTTTTAAGTTGTAAACTCATTGTAACAACCCGGATTCACAAACAAATCATGAAGAGCACTTGACCCTGAGTTACAAAAGGCCCACATGAGGGGAACTCCATGTTGAGATACCACATGTGGAATAAAATAAGCATGCTCCTTCTTTTAGATGTCATTTTTCAGATTTAAGTTTGTTGTGATATTTCCTTTATGATCATCTAAATTGGTTGGAAAAGCAACTTTAACAAGTGCAGTCACCGATCTCCAGTGGTTTCAGCTATTGCACAAAAAAAGAAAGTCTGGGGAGCTGTGAGGTTCATGAGAAGTGTGAGGAAAGTGATCTTTGGTGAAGAAAACAAACATTTAAAAAAAAGGGTGAAAGAATCAAGGCACTCTTCTGGAAAACAGAAACTGCTTAAAACAGGTCTTGTTACAACCCAAGTGTAGCAACACAAACAGCCTTCTTCAGAGTGTTGCTCTCAGCACACAGTCTGCCACGTAAAAGGCAGGTTATTGCAACACCTGAGGAAGAGACAATTGAGCTCGAAGGTGCAAATACAAGTTAATGCTCACCTAATGTCTGTGCAACATATTTTAGAAAGGAAAAAAGAGCCAATTAGAAACAAACACTCACCTGCACAATATGACGAGGAAACAGAAATATAGAAACAGTGCATACAAATACAACCTGCTGTAGTGATGCAGAATTGTAACCAGGGGTTTATGACACATGACTTCACGATTGAAGCAGTCACGGATACAACACATCACCTTTCTAAAAATGTGATTCTAAAGGTGCAACAGTGTACGGTAAGTCGCGGAAGTAGCTACAGAAAAATTCCTGGGGGTCTGGCAGGAGAAACTCCGGGTGAAGTCCGGGCTAAAAATGTGGGTGTTTGCGTTAACACATACAGCTCCTCCTGGACTTATCAGGAGTTTTTGTGTGAAAGCCTTATTAAAGGTCAGGGTGATTCTGGTTTTTTAAACTCATGTTGAAGTTCATCTTTAAAACCTCATATCTTAAACCTTAAAAAAAGTAAATCTCATCTCCTCCAGAGAAGAATAAAGTCTGCACATCTCTCAGATTTTCATTTGTTTTTGCCTCAAGTTTAAATCATTATGTGTTTCCATCAATTTGTGGGAGAAAAGTCACTTTCTGATTGAAATGGCAATGGGTGCAGATTTAAACCCTCACAGGGCTTTCATTGAGAATTTTTTAATGTGAATGAAGGTCAGCAGCACGTCATTTCCATATTTTAACAGAATGTAATCCAGGGTTCGGTCCACCGAGAATACTAAACCTCCATTTTGTAACATGTCGTTTGTGGAGGGCGCTCACAGCAGATGTTGTATATCGAGCTACCAGCAGAGACAGCTGGCTGTGAAGGGCCAATAAACATGTTTGTCCTCAGGTTCTGTGCTGAACAATCTGCTGGACCAACTCCCCCAAAACCACTTCCACATAAAGTAGACAACTGGGCATTTCAACTTTTACATTCGGCAACTATTAACAATGTTTATATTTAAAAAAAAAAAAGGTTGGGGGGGGGGGGGCATGCTGCAAAGGTGCCCCAGGCCATTCTAGAGTCTGTTGGGGCCCTGGGGCAAAAATTAATTGGGGGGCCCTCAAACCAGCGTTATGTCTGCCAGGAATTCAACGCTCTTCATCTTTCTTTTTTGACTCCCAGACAGATAGTTCCTCTTTTCACTTTCCTTCAGTGGTTTAATTTTAATGAAGGAGGTGGTGAGAGTGAGTGCTGTGAAATGGGGCCTCATTAGGGAGGTATCCTACTGCACATAGTTTGCCAGTCTTGGGGGGGGGGCTTACTGGCCTGGTGGGGCCCCAAGCAGTTGCCTGCTTTACCTGTTGACTGGTAGCGCCTTAGGTCGGACCCCACCTGTGAAGACCAGCACCCCAACCATGTACTACATTATGTCCAAATACTGCTTTAAATGAATACATCAATCAGTCTTTTTCTGTGGAGCGCAAATTGACAACAAATGTAATCCAACAACACTTTACAAAGAGAGCAGGTCTAGACTGTAACACTGTTTTAAAAAAAATTGGTTGTCATGGTAATTTATGATACCTCTCCTGAAAAATGTCAACTCTTCAGTGCAATACTTTCATTTGTTTACAGCGACTCCTTTGAATTAATGTGACAATGATGAATTTGTGTACCTTCCAAATCCTTCTCCACCTGCTCTGTTTCTCTTCTCTCTCTCAGGGTAAACGGTCCCATTTTCCCCGACGACTCCCAATCGGGAGAGGCGGCGGACTCCAAGTTCTTCAGGCTGGAATCGTCTCCGTTTACAAACGGCTGCTTCATCGCTCGGCTCTCCCGACAGGTGAGAGGAAGACGATGAAAAGGTGTTTAGACGTGCAGAGTGTGGGAGGAAAAAGTGAAGGGGGGGGGGGGTTAGAGGGGCCAGGGTTTTGTTTGGGGAATGAGGAGTAACAGAGATTGTTTGGTGTGTGTGTGTTTGTGTGTCTTTGTGTGTGTGTGTGTGTGTGTGTGTGTGTGTGTATTTGTGTGTGTGATTGCTTTGCAGCGAGACCTTCCGCTTGTGCTGATGCTGCACTTTTTAACTGTCTGTCTGCAGGGAGGTCAGTCAGCTCAGCTTGTCTGCATCACACACACAAGCTGACACCCCCCCCCCCCCCCACACACACACACACACACAATGACTATCACTGTGAAACACTGCAGCGCTATTCCAAAACTCCATAAAAACAGGCACATTTAGGATGAAATATGCCGGAGCTGGTGAAATATTTCAGCTTTTTACAGCAAAGATGAATGATTCTTTTCTGTATCTTTCCTCCATCCCTTCAGTCTTGTTGCATCACCTCTTTTCTCCCCCCCCTCCCCCTCCTCCCTTTCCTCTCTTGCTCAGCTCATAAAAAAAGAAGAAAAATACAACAGACAGAAATGAGAGGCTGCTCGTTTGATCCCCTGCAGCCCGAAAAAAAAAATGGTGCAGGGAGGGAACTGTGCCTGTGTGTTTGTGTTTTATCAATATAGACTCACAATAACACACAGACATTAATTAGAATCTAATGATCAACGTGTCTGATTACATCATCATTCACTACTGCAACGATTCAAGTCACATCAGAGCCGAAGATTTAGCTACACTGACACATTTGGTGTGGTTTCACTGCTGCTCGCATGGACGACTCTTAACTTGTCAAACAGCGCTGGAGGTCGATTGAAAGGGATCTGACGAGGACACAAGGCAGCATGAAGTGACAGAGAGAGAGAGAGAGAGAGAGAGAGAGGATGAGGCAACACGAAAACCCTCTTAAAAGGGTGACACATAGAAAAACCGTCTACTTTATGATGCAAGCTTTGTTTCTCAAATGTCTTGTCTGTAAAGTAGAAAGCAAACCTGAAAAGCTGCATTCTTCTTCAAGACTGGGATTTTGAATTTGTCTCTTATCTCATCACAAAATTACTTTGCATCCATTGTTTAGATTGAATCCTCTGTCGCCCCCCGGTGGTGGAATGAACTTCCAAACTCCAGTCGATCTGCAGAGTCCCTCTGCACCTTTAAGAAAAAGCTAAAGACCCAGCTCTTTCATGAATACCTACTAACTTAATGATGATGATCTCCATATTATTGATGATGATGATGGTAATGACGATGGTTTTAAGACTTATAAGTCTTAAAACTTGTTTTATAAGATGGTTTCTATACTGATTAGAGCTCTCAAGAACTGCCCTCAATGTTGTGCTTTGCCTCTGGTCACTTCCTGTCAGCACCTGTGTTTCCAATCAGACTCAAAGCTGATCGTTTGCTCTTACTGACATTGTTCCCTTTTTTCTAGATCCTTGCTTGTGTTGTTCTTACTCTCTGATGTACGTCGCTTTGGATAAAAACGTCTGCTAAGTGAATTGTAGAATTGTAGATTGTGATATTTACACCCGACTCAAACATGACTCAAAAGTAGGGTGAGCTTTTTTTTCAAACCTCCAAATCGGGACGTCATCGCAGGTCTGAATTAACATGAGTTTGAATAATTTGTTTAACTGACTAGTAACTCTGTCAAGGACTTGTAAGGGTGAGGATTGTTTAATGGTTTAGGTGGCACATCCTTAGTTTGAACTCCATTTTTTTGTATTGTCACAGTGCAAATGGAACCTCAGCTGAGGTGATGCTAAGCAGTAAACTCCTTGAGAAATCCTGCAGTTCATCAAGTGTCCACTTGAGGCTGACTCCAAAAACACCAGATTTAATTTTCAAAAAAGCTGGTCCAAACAAATCCAGAGTATTCAGGAGCAGAATCTAAAGTTAGAAGGAGGACATACTGGCTGCTGCATTGTTGTTAGAGAAGCCAGCACTTCAACATAGCATGTTTCCTTAATGTCTGATCATATAGTAAGGTCACTTTATCATCTCAGTCAGTAGATATCGTACAGATTGGTCCCTTAAACACATCCGACACATACAGCCATCATTCACGCCTCTGATCTGTGAACTGTAATCTTCTCCGTTTGATTACAGACTCTCAGTTTGTCAAAGTAATTAAAGTGTGAGAGCTTATAGGTGACTCAGAGCACATAATGAAGAAGCATTTCAGAGTGAATTAAAAATGCATATGCAGTTTTTTAAAGCTGTGCACTGAACATTATTTCACTTTTATTGGAGAGGAGATAAAACACAGTTTGATGACTCAGAGGGGGGAGGATGGGGGAGACAAAAGCTTACAGGGGAGTTAAAGGGATTTTCACTCCATTAAGATGTCACTGCAGAAGAAGACACATTCGATCCCTTTGCACATACTCTATGTTCACAGGGAGCAAAATATGTGCCAAACGACCTGCCGGCAACATACTCAGTCCTGTATCATCTGAACTTTGAAACTCCTTTTGTAAGTTGGAAAAGTTACATATTGTTGCTTTAAAGGTCACAAACTATGCAAAATACACTTGACCACTTATATGTGTCTCTAGTCCGTCTACAAACCCCCCCATCATGAGAAAAGTCCATCCTCTCCATCTTTAGCCTGCTCCACTTTTCAGAAAATGTGTGCTCAAACAGGCGGTTTTGGAGATTTTCCCTTCATGACATCACAAAGGGCAGTAGCCCCTCCCCCAGGTGGGTGACACTCCCACAGCTAGGTGTTTGTTCTGCCCTCTGAGTCTGCCTTCTCACCGTAAACAATAGGACATGGAGCGAGAAAGCCCGAGCCCTTCCAGAGAGGGGGCGTGGTCAGACACAGCTCATTTACATATTTAAAGGTACAGACACAGAAACAGCCTGTTCTGAGCAGGGCTGAAATAGAGGGGTTTATAGACATGATCAAATACAGGATCAGAGTGGATTTAGAACGAGAAACTTCACACACATGTTTTGGGGAGCTCTGAGACTTATTTAAACTGGTTGAAGAGGAGAATATGTGACCTTAAAAACTGAATAAAAACAGTATTTCTGTCATTGCCAGTAATACGTAGAATATATATATGGAAGTATGTAGTGCTATAAAGAAAATTGATGCATGTCCATGTGATAAAATAAGATGCTGAGCATGAAAAGCTTATCATGCAAGCATTGTCACTGTTAGCATGTAGCTCACCAGCAGTATTGAACAGCTTTCTGAGTTGCTAGCGAGGCTGTTGTTTAACCACAAAGGGAGAAGGAGTGGAAAAGATAAGTGCCTTATGACAGGGACTAGTGCTATCTTTCCAATTATCTCCCACACTCTGATCTGTAAGGATGTAAAAGCCACCAAGCCCCCCCGAGACCCTTGCTCTCCATCGTCCCCTGCAGGCTCTCTTTATTGCTTGTGGCTCATTTCTGCAGCATTCTTCTTGTAGTTGTTGTTGATGCTGTATAGAATCTCCTTATTTGTATGTTACTCTCGAGGCCTGTAGTTTTTAATGAGTTGTATCTTCACATCAAATCTTTGCTTTTTTTTTTTTTTCCAAGGCCGATCCTACAAAAGTAGAAACAGTCCAGGACGTGCTGGCAAGGGCGGCGGCAAAGGGCCTCCTGGGTGGAATCCTTCCCGAACAATCGAAAACGGGTAAAAAAGGGAAAAGCAAGAAGAATCGAGGAGCTTCAGCAGGCAGCAAACCTTCATCCCCCTCGGGCCAAGAGCGCGAAGCGGGAGGGGAAAGTGTGAGCGGAAAAGATGGATTCACACCTTCAGAACAAGAGGAGCAGAAATGTGAAAACAACGAGGAGGAGGTTAACGGAGGGAAGAAGAAGAAGGGGCAAAAGCGAAAGGGCAAACAGCGACTGAAACAAACGCACAGGGCGACGACAACCGTCTCCAAGAAGAAACCGACAAAGAAGAAGGCGAAGAGGCGTCTCACAAAAACGAAAGCGAGGAGATTCCCTCGTCTCACACTGACATTGATATCCTCAGCTAACCCCCCCAAACACCTGTCTCCCATCACCGCCCTCGCACACAAGCTGATCGACGCTCCAGCCGTGGAATCCAAGCAGGCAGTCTTTAGCACCTCCTCCCCTGCCCGGGCCCGCTCCGCCTGCGGCCTCGAGGCAGGTGCAGAGACAAAACGCAGTGACGACCCAGAAGGACGCAGCTGAACCGGAGAGCCGTCTTAAGCTCAGGGGAAAGGTGAAACTGAAAGAAGAGGTCACCGCGCAGAACGTGTCAAAGCTGTCAGATTTTGTCCTGCCGCCCATCTCCCTCCCGTCCTCCGGTTCTTTGAGTGGCAGGAGTGTTGGTTCTCCCTCTCGGCGTCCGTCCCGGTCCTCCCACTCTCAGCTGCCCCAAGTATCTACATCCTCCTCCTGCGTCTCCCTGCCTGGATTATAAATTGTTTTGTGTTTTTTTGGAGCATTTTTGCCTTTATTTGATATGAAGGAGAAAGACAGGAAATATTGGAGCGAGGGGGGGCGACATGCAGCGAAGGTCAGAGGTCGGATTCCAATGAACGGCTGCTGCAACGAGGACTACAGCCGCCGTACACGGGGTGTGCAACATAACCGCTAGTCCATCCGGCGCCCCCCCCCCCCTACCTGGATTATAGACAAGTGTGTTACCCTACCCTACCCTAACCCAATTAAACTATTGAACTGACCCAACACTACAGTGAGCAATCATAAAGCAAAGGACTTCTAAAAAGTGATTCTAAATTAGAAAAATTCTTGTTATCTTTTGTAGCTAATATAGAAGCATCAGCAGTCTGTTCTATGACCAGATTAAAGCTCCTCACTGCAGTTTTAAACGCACAGGTTTGTAAAATTCTCTCAATCAAAACAATAACAAAAAGAGGACGTCAAGGCTGACGGGGAATCATGGGAGTTCTCTCTGCTAACTCACCCCAACCCCCATGAAAACAAACTCAGAGTTGACTGTATAGTCGAGCATGGCATTTGAAATTTGAGATATTTTTCCAATGATTTAAACCCTGTGAATACGATAAACCTCGATTTGATATCACAAGATGACAGAAAGGATTGGAAAGTTAAAGAAATGTATATAATTCAGTTTTACATTCTGTCAGTCTTACTCGGCTTTCCTTTCCAGACCTTCAGATCTCAAACTAACGACGCAATCAGAGTCGTGAACAGATTGAATGGCTGATGTTCAAGTGACAAACACACAACATACCATTAGAGGAAAAGCTGTATAATTCAGTCGACAACATCAAAAAAGCTTAACGCAAACACCAGAACAGTGGCTCTATATTATAATGCTGTTTATTCTCACAACTGGTTACATTGATAAAGTGTACAAATCAGTGAGCAGCGAACGGAAGCCAACACATCCACCTGTGGGAAATGTGTGTGAGTTTGACAGAGACGCTGGGAGTCCACTGCTGTCTCCTCCTCCTCCTCTCTCTGTCCTCTCCTCCTCCTCTCTCCTCCTCCTCCTCCCTCTCCTCCTTCCTCCTCCTTCCTCCTCCTTCCTCCTCCCCTCATCCAACAGTGGACCCCCAGCTCTGAGTGCACTGTACAGGGGTGAAGATATATTTTCCTCTTTCTGCCGGTTGTTTCTGCAAAGCGGAGCGTGTTGTGAGTTAACCAGAGGCCGAGACAATGACACCAAAGTCCGGAGACTTTACCTGCCCAAACTAATAAAATCAGTATATACCCTTTATAAAATAGAATAAATAAAATAAAAAATATTTCTGTTCAGTACATACAGTCGCTCTTTCCACCGTCCACGGGCATGCAAAGGAGATTTACGACTTTCTGTTTCAGCGATCAAAAGAATGCATAGATAATTGCTCAGTTAAGATTCAGCATCAACGTAATCGACAGCTGCTAGAATGTCCGATCACTTCTCCTATTTTCATTATTTGCTCTCGTATTTATCATATCTACAACAATGTATATCACTATTTTACACTTTGGCCATTTGGTGAATAAAAAAAAA